GGCAAATGATCTGTACTGTCCTTAACAATTTTTAAACTAATTCTTAATATAGAAAAATCAACTTCGAAAGTTTTATAATAAGTTTAATTTCATTCAGCACATAACAGATTCCTAATAACTTCCGAATTAACTAACGTCCTTTCGACATCTCATTCTCTTTGCAAATCATTTTTCAAAAAATACCAAAAACAACCTTAAACACAATCACGAAGAAATTTTTTTTAAATCCTTTATTTAAATGTTCCTATTCACTGATATAAATATTTACATTTGTTTTATCCTTCATTTAGTATACTAACACGACCAAGAAACAAATGAATGAAAATCCTCGTACCTTCCTAGAAATATTATTTTCCAAATTTCAAAAAAAAAAAGTTCCAACAGTAAAGACTTCGATATTTCTGTCCACAGTTCGTTAACGCGAATTTATCTAGCTATCGCGAATGACCCTTTCGATTTACCAACTTCAAAGATAAATTGCCCCGCTTCTCATTCGTTGTTTTCAACGCGCGCCTACAGATCCTGTTTCGGCTCCTTTTTAATTAATTCCCCGCACTCCAATATCGGCCCGGTGTCATCCGCGACGAAGGAAAGGCCGATTTCTTCGACGTGGGCACGTCGACGCTTGGAAAATCGGGGAAGCGAAACGCACCAACAGGGACAAAGACAGCTGGTGACATCGAGTCGAACGACAACCGGGGCGTTTTAATTTACCTCGATCACCGATAAAAGCTTAAACGGACGGACCAGTTGGGCCAAAAAAAAAAAAAAAGGAAAGGAAGGAAGGAAAATGCGAGGAGAACGACGAGTTTCACGAATCGACGGGTGTTGAAAATTGACAGAAAGGTGTGTTTCTATGCTGCGGGTAAAGTTTCCACGTAATAACAAGCTGAAGGCTCTCTCGAACGGAAGATCGACGAGGCTTTCCGACAGTTTCGGAAGATTTGTTCTGACCGGAGATACGCGAACGATCAAACTTTGCCGACCTGTGTTTCGGCTTTCTTTTGTGTTGTAGTTACCGAAGCTTTTCAGACGACGATGGTGGATGGTGTGTGTGTGTGAGGTATCTGAACGAAAACGGGAGATTTTTCGGTGGTGTTTGTGAAGTTTTATGTAGCTTTAATCTGGCAGAATCTGGATTTTTATTTTGCTACCAGAATCGAGTAGAAAATTTTGAATCGTATAAGAAACGAGTCTGGATTTTTATTTTGCTATCACGGTCAAGTAGAAAATTTTGAATTGTCCTTGATCTTCAATTGACAATAGAAAAGAAATTCCTAATTTGCTCTTTCTAATTTAATTTTCACTTGCTCATATCACATTAATTATTATTATTATAATTATTACTTCAATTGGCAATACAACATACATATGTATGTACTACGAATACTTCGCAATAATTCATCTTATTTAATGGAACTTAAACCAAAAAAGAAAAAAAAAAACAAGGAACGAAACGAAAGAGATAAAAACTTTCCGAAAAAGCGAGGTAAAAATGAAAGGAAGAAGAGTCCTTATCAATTTCATTTTCAGCAAAAGAGCGCAATCTCATCGATTAACACGATTCGCGCCGGTAAGTGGAGAATGACATCGGGAATTCGAAACACAGCCAGCCGTAAGAATAGCGCTGAGCACGTGCTTTGCCAGAGATGAATTTAAATTAGAAAACTTTTTCACAGCGTCACGAACGCGAACGGAACGATGTAGCTAGGCGACAGAAGCTCGTCGCGACTGACTGAGGCGAAACTAATCGGACTGTTGCTAGCTGAGACACGTGGCTGGTTCGAGGATGGACAAAGAAAGGAAAAAAGTACGCGATAAGACCAGGTTATAAAGGAACAACCCCCGCTTGGGTTACTGCTGGATTTTCGGTGTACACCGGGTGGACACCGAGCCAAGCCTGCTTGAGACGCGAACTTATTCAATTAAATCCGAACAAGTTGCCGCTAGAAGTTCCTAAACTAAATTACAAGCGGGGGAATGTTGTTTGAAAGTGAAGAAGGGAGATTCCTTTCGACGCCACTTTGTTTGTCGCCGATAGAGAGTGAACCGGGAATAGCGGCGGTTTTCAACCTGTTCTCTTCGATCAAATGTTTATTCGTAACGAATTGTCTCTGTATTGGTTTGAATGGAAAATTCGCGCATTTTTAATTCTATGACATTTTATTGTTATTGTTTTTGTAAAAACTGATTTATTTATTCGATTATATTGTAGAAACCGACGGAAAAATTTTTAGGGACCCAACCGGGAATCGAACCTGGGACCTTCGGCTTTGCAAGCCGAGGCT